AAACCAAGGAGTTCCTCCCTGTCCTGGGGTCCTTCCCAGTGAGATGGCAGCAGGACATGGGCAGGACAGTTATGGGTCCACGTGAGGGATCCCAGGCTGCACGTGCTGGAGCAAGGGCTGAGCAGGGTTTGACAACCATATTCTGTAGATACTGATGGAAAACTCCTGAGAGGCAGGGACACTGTGGACAAACGGGATCAGAGCGACAGGTAAAGGAACCGGTCTTTGCAGCAGAGCTGCTGTGGGTAGATGAAGCTGAGCCAGAGTGCTCTGGGCCAGGAGCGAAACTGCTGCATTAATCACGGTGTGAGAGGTGAGGCTGCTGTTCAAAACTGCTGACTGGGGCCCCAGGAATCTGTTTCACATTTATGCTGCTGCCTCTACAGGCATAAATAAATGCAAGGGCAGGATGGATGCAGCACTGGCAGTCGTGGGAGGGCACTGCATCCTCCTCCAGGGAACTCTGCAGGAGAGGGAAGGTGGCTGGGTGCCTGAGCCTGGTGTTGCTTCCCAAAGTCCAAGTGGACCTTGGGACCAATAACTAACATCTCTTTGATATCCCTTTCTTTAAGGAGGCGTCTTCTTGGGGGATAAAGGTGATGTTGAGACCCTAAGGAAGGTCTTTAGGGAGGCAGGTGAGCTCTCCAGGTAATACCTTTGCTCATCCTTTTGCCACGAAGTGTTCGGCTTGGTTTTCTTACGATTGGTTGTTGATTATCTTTCATTTCTCAGTTATGAGACAGTATTGCCAGAAAAATTGTTCAGTAGCTGAGTCAGGGGTATTGATCCTTAGCTCAGGAGTTTGTTCTTTCATCTGGGAGGTTTTTCTCAACTTCTGCAGGCAATGTGTGATCAGAACCTGAGACCTGAGGCTGGTACCTGCCTCTGCTCCTGGCTGCTGTGTGACCCTCCGTGATGGGCTTTCATTTTAACTTTATAACAGTGAAAAATGAACCTCCTGCATGAGGCTGGAAAAAGCTCATTATAGTTGCTCTCTGTGTCTCAGGCTTTTTTTTCTCTGTTGAAAATGGGCTGTGACAGTCATGGCACGGGGTGGGTCCTGCTCCTCACTGCAGCCCTGAAAAGCCTGTGCTCAGCAACCTGAGCACAGAAAACGTGAGCTGGTCAAAAATCAGTCATTGAGGTGACAGTTGGGAGAGCTGTAACAGCCCTTTTGTAGCCTGAACCCACACTGTGAGTGGTTCTCCTGCCCTGGAGCTGGGATTTTTGCTGTCATACTCGGTATCCATCCCCTCAGGGCCAGCCTGGGAAGCCTGGCTGGGGTTTGGCCTCCAGCACTCCAGGAGCACGGTTTAACCACCCCTCACACACTGATTCTTACTCCTTAATTACAAGCTGTCACTTGTCATCAGTCCTCTGCTCCCTCCTTTAGTACCAGGGAGGCTGCCCTAATGCTCCCAGAGTGAACACCAAGTTCATGGGCTAAATGGAGAGATTCTGCTGGGTCTTTTGATCTGTTCAGCTTCTGCAGATCTTGACAGTCCTCCCCTGCTTTTAAAGCAAGGGCCCTTTTTTTGGGGAAGTTTGTTGTTTTGAGGTAAACTGTTAAAATTGGCAGTGGGTGCAGCAGGCTGTGCTGAGCCATCAGACAGCCTGGAGCGATGGCTCCGAGGTGGACCTGACTCATCGCAGCAGGATATTGACTCTGCAGCGTAATTATGATGCTTTGAGAACCTGATTTTCAAATAATTGAGGTATAAAATTACGTGCCTGGTTCTCACAGTTACTACAGCTCTGGGTATAAATTGAATAACGGGCTGTACAAATGTGCCACTTGGCTATAGCAGAGGAACAGCAGCCGGTCTGGAAATGTCCTGCGTCACTGCTGCTTTTCCTCTTTGCTGGGAAGCTGCCTGAGGTTTGCAAACAGCCTCGGGATGCCACTGGTCCCAGTTGTTTGGCAAACCCATGGAAAGTCCTGCAGCTGGGCAGGGGCAGCCAAAATGCAGGGGTGAAACACTGGCTGCTTGCTCATCCCAGCACGTGGAGCATCTCAACACCTCTGGCTGCTCGTGGCGATGTCCTGGCTGTGGGAAAGTACTGGGGGCACAGCTGGGGCTTTGACACCCGTCTTTCCAAGCTGTGGTGGCTCCCTTGCTTCCAGAAGGGCTTTCTCTTTCCTCTGTCATGTCTGCAGTCTGTGTTTTGTTTGGTCTTGGTGAACTTTGATTGTCGATGAAGTCCCAAGGCTTTGGGAGGACGTCGTTGTCCTCGGGGTGATTTTGTCACTTCTGTCCCACTTGGAATGGTGTTCCCCCAGGCTGAACCTGGTGAAAACCTGTGTTTGTCTTTCATGGTTTGCCAGCAGGACTCCACTGCTCTTGGAAGGGTTAGGACAGATTATTTTCAGCTCAAAGGCAGCCCAAACTGCAAACTTTGATTTTTTTTTTTTTTTTTTTTTTTTTTTAACCAGTCTAACTAAAAACCAGACAAGTCAGGTTTGTTCTCTGTATGTCCTTTAGGGTCAGGCTGCTGCTCCCAGCCTTTCCCTGCTGACCCTCTTGGTTTGAGGCTGGGATTTTGTCCTTGCTCAGTGTGTTTCCAGGGTTGTTTTCCACCCAGCTTCAGGGGACTGGTTGCAGCCCCTGGAGTGGGCAGCTGCTGGAGGAGGTTTTTGGGAGCACGACCTTTCTAATGGGCACATCAGCAGGACCTGCTGCTGCTCAGAGCCCTGGGGGCTGAGCCCAGACTCTGCTTTTAATCATCAATCAGAGGGAATAAACCTGCAGGGGAAGATCTCAGCAAATCCTCAGCTCCTGTAAAAGCTGAGCAGGAGCCACTGCTGTGCCCAGACACGCTGGGCACTGTGAGGCTGCTGCTGTGCCTGCTTGGGGCCAAAACGTTGGGAATTTAGTCTGTAATAAAATAAACCTTCTTGTGTCTCAACCATCTGAATTATTACCTGACTGGCACTTCATTATAAACACATTTTTTCCATCTTGGTACTGGTTTCCTGCCATTTTATTGCTTTTTAGGTTCTATTTTTTTGTTTTATTCATCTCTTCCAATCGATAGAAATATCCTGTTTTTAGCAAGCAGCAGAGGCAGACGTGACTGATGTCCTGATGGTGGAGCAGAATCACTCTCAGAGCATTTGGGGAACAGGGGGAAAAGCTTCAAAATCTAATTTTCAAAGATCTCTAAAGCATAACAAACTGCTCCAGACGTGTAGCTGAGTCTCCCAGTGCCATTAGCTCAAAAAGTTGGGATTTTTCTGTTGTCCCATTGCAGAGCTGGCGCTTTAGGTCCCTCCTCTGGTGGTAACTGTTGTTCTTTGCCATGACACTAATTAAAACCCACTTAATGAGATTATCTCCACCTGTTCTGGAGGATTAGTTCGACGGAGGAAATCCTGCACGTGCCTGTGGATGCACATAGGCACAGCAATGCTGGAAATCACAGTCTCCCCAAAATTATTCTCTTCAGGGTTTGCCATGGCAAAGAGTATTTAGCGCCCCCCCCCCCCACATGCACAGATTGCTCAGACAGCACTGAAATGCAACAGAGAATTGAATTTGAGAGTAAATTGTTTCGATGACGCAGCACCAGAAGAGTCGGTGCGGGATGGATTTGTTTTAGTGCCAAATGAGAGCTGTGGCAATCCAAGGGGAGTGAGCTGGGTCAGGAGAGCCTTGCCTGGGATGCTGTGGGCAGTGTCCCCACGTGTGCCCACCAGGGACACCCAGGAAACCTGGGTTACAAACACTGGGGTTTGTCCCCACTTGCCCTGTGACCATGGGCATGCGTCTCAACCTCTCTAAACCTCGTAAATGGTTGGTGAAGTGTTGTGCAAACACTGACTGGCACTAAGGGCTGTTGATGGTGCCGTGGTTTCCTGGTTCCCACGTCACGGTTTAATCCACTGGATCAATTGGTTGGGTTTATTCTGTTGGGTTTTTTCACCAGTTGTAGAGTTTGGGGCTGATTTTGCTCCAGGAGCTCTGTCTGAAAACTTCCACTAAGCAGGCACAGCAGAAAGGTGGATTTTGGTGATGAGAAGGAATCAAGCAAATGTTTTGTGTGCTGTGAGAGTGGTCACCAGATCCTGCTGAGGCTGACTTGGCCTGATAGGGCTGACAACAGACACCTTGCTTCCGGTGTCCTCTTTTTATCACCAGTCATCCTTTACCTTCCTCTCCTCTTCCTTCCATGATGTTGTTGTCTTTATCCACAGCCCATAGAGAGTCCTGAAAATATTTGAGAAGATCCTGCTTTGCTCTGTGGTGTAGTAAATGCTGTATTCCCTGAATTGTTCAGCAATAATTCTGTTAAATCGCCTTGGGATTATTTTGTGTTGCAGTTTGATTGTATTCTCATGCAGGGGGGGAGTATAAAAACGAGCCTGGCATTGACACCAGTGGCACAAGGATCTTGCCTGGGTTTGGAGGTGCAGGAGAAGGGATCGTTCCAAGACAGTAATTCAGAGTGAAGCAGGGAAGAAAAGCACATTTCTGGTGTCTCTATTGTTAGAACCCAATGACTTCCTTCGCCGTGGTGCTGCTGAGGCCTGAGCAAGTCTAATTATTGCCTTTTCTTGCTACTAAAAGAATCCAGAGGATAAAACCTGATCCCTTTGAGTGGATGCATCTCAGGTGTGTTGCTGACACTGGAGAGAGACTTTATTGTCTGGCAGCAGAAGGTCTGGCTATTCATTTGGAGCCTTTGTCACCTCTCTTCCAGAGAGGTGCTGCTGCATATGAAAGTCTGATTGATGCAGTGGCAAAGGTCAGGAGGGTAATAGCTTTGATGGTATCCCCTGAAGCAAATCAAAATTCTTCTCAAAGGTTCTGTTCAATTTGATACCAGGGGTCTGGTAGCACTCCAGGGATCCTTCTCTCTGCTGGTAGGCTTACAGCTATTACAAAAATTAATGTTTGTCTCTTGTGGGTTTTTTTTTTATTCTAAGAGGATATTCTGCACTAAAAATGGAAAATAACCACTTCTCTCTTCTTTTATCCCCTTCTCTCTCACTATTTCAGGGATCCTCGATGCATTTCCTTGCCATTATTTAGGGAACCTTCACTAAAAGCTCCTGGATTGTGGTTCTGAGCGGACAAAAGGTTTTGGAGTCCAAAATGCTCATAAAGGAATATCGGATCCCTCTCCCGATGAGTGTGGAGGAATATCGGATCGCCCAGCTGTACATGATCCAGGTCAGTGGCATTTTGGGGAGCTGAGACTGACGTGGGGCCCCACGTGTGGAAAGGGGAAGTCTTGCTGCAGAATTCCTTATTTGAAATCTGAGGTTTGCCATGTGCTCAAGAAGGAGAAGTGGGAAAAGCCCTGAACTTCAGGTCATGATTTGCTTCCTCTGAAATCAGAGAACCTTTGTTTGACCCTCTGGAAGCAGCCACGGCTTCCCAGGCGGGCTCTGGTTACTGGTCATGCCAATTCCAGCTGCAAACCGAAGGACTGTGTTCTTTTCTTGGGAGGGAACAGTCTAATATAGATTTGAGAGAGTAAAACCCAAGGCATGGGTTTGAATATAGAGTGGGAAAAATCTAGATGGAATATTTCTGTGCTTACGTACCCCCGTGAAACAGATACTAATCAGTTTAGGCATAAAATGTAGATTATTTTTAACAGGCTTCTGAATACTGAGGGGAATTTTTGTTGAATTCCCTCTCTTCAATAAAGCAGTTAATTAAAATGTTGGGGGTTTGTAACTGGAATCCTCTGTGCCCATATTCTCCCAGTGTTTGAAATCCAACCAGGAGCAGTTTTAAGAGGAAATGAATCTGAAGTGTTATTTCATTGTCCCACGCTTTAAATAAAATTTAATTTTGCTCATCCAGCAGAGAACACATCTGATATTGAGTATGCAGGAGAACTCTGCTTTTTGAAGCAATTCTTATTAAAAAAAAAAATTCTGCTTTGGCTTAAAACCTGAAATGAGTTAAGGAAAAAAGCAAACCCCAAAGCAAAAGCACAACTCCCCTGTTTCTCTCTCAGCCTTTCAACTGTGTTCCTTAAGGATTCATGCACTTGGACTTGACTGTTAACAACAACAATGCTTGTTGTGTGTTTTCTGGTCATAATGGTCATATTCCTTTTTTGTGACACAAATAGCTCGTCTTTGTGCGTTTAACCCAAATGTTAAATGTTGGCATAAGCAACTAAACACTTCTCTTAGGTGGCTTCATTTTTCTGCACCTCTTCCTGACGCTGTAGCCGCTTTGAATATTGGTGTAATTAATTTGTTAACAACTTTGTCTTCCTAACCTGGCTCAGCTGCTTTGAATGAAGAGCTGGTGGATGGCAGCAGAGTGTTGGCTGTGCAGAACTTGTCAGGAGCAGTGGAGCGAGGGGAAGGTGATTTGATTAGGGAGGAGCCACTCATATGATTTAGCAGAGGATGAATCCTTAACTGGGGAGTGTCTCTGGGGTGATGAATTTGCTTTTTGATCTCAGGAGTTAAATTGCTTGGGTTTATTTCATTAAAGCAGAACACTGGTTTCTGCTCTGTTACTTGACAGTGATTTTGGCCATATCTGAATGTCTGAAGGACATGATAATAAGCCATTAGGGTTTCGTGCAAGGGGAAGTTCACCAGCCCAGGAAAACACTTGAGAAACTACAGCCCCAAATTGCCATCCAGCCCTGCTCTGATTTTCTGCTGCACTGATAAGCAGCAAAATAAGGTTTGCTCTTAAATCAGGTGCAACTTCTGGTGCAAGTCAGGCCTCTGATCTCCTCCCACTTACCTGGAGGAGGGAGCTGAGCTGGAAACATTGCCTGGAGCCCAAGGTCCAGTGGAGCTGGAGAAGGGCATGACAAGCAAGTGACTTTACTGTACAAGAGGAAAAGTCAGCTGTGCTTTTCCTGGAGAATACTAATTTCAGCTCAAATTTGAAAGAAACGAAAAGCAGTAACAAAACCAGAAAGCCCACTTAGGGCAGAGTTTGGAGTTCAGTAGCAATTTGCTTCAGTTGTTCCTGAAATCGGTGGAAAGATTCCTGCTGGTCTCAAAGGGAACCTCTCCTGGACCAGGATGTCGAATGTCCTTTCTCTTCAGTGGGATTTAAAAGGGGGGGGGGGTTATCTCTGGGACAGGCACTGGGGAGGGAGCAGTGGGGCTTCCATCCCTTTCAGAGCATGAGAAAATGCTTCGTGTCTGTCTCTTTTATTTTTCCTCCGAAACGCCTGAAGAGGCCACGGGAGAAGGAAGTTCTGTTTGTTGAACCCCCTTAGGGGAACAAGCTGAAATATCTGTATAAAACAGCAGTGAAGAGGCATTTCTTAAAAATCTCTGGCTGAAGCATAGAATGGAATGATTTAAGGTAGTTCCTGGGGAGAGGAGCAGTTCTTAAAAGCAAAAGGTTCATTTCAAAGACATTTGTTGTGTACAGTAGGGGGGTGTTATTGCTGGAGACACCAGGGAGCCTGGTCCTGGACGGAGCACTTCTCCAGCAGTGTAAATGATGTCCCAGTTACTCCTCAAGGGTTTTGGGGAGCCTCAAGCACGTATTTGAGGTTGATCACTTGTTTAACTCTGAGCTCACGAGTGAAGATTCCCATTAAACTCCAAACCTCTTTGTATAAAGCTCCCTAGTGTTTTTTTGGTCCGGGTGTAAATTTTCCTGGATTTCAGCATCGTCCAAATGGAAGTTTTCCAAAAGGCCCTTCTCACCTGAGTCCTTCTGGTGCCCCAAAGCCACGTGGGCAGGGATGTTCACACTCGAGCTGTGCTCACTTTTCAAAGGCACGTTCATGGAGGGTGTTGCTTTGCAGTGGAAGGGTCTGTCATCCCCTTTCATGAGAGAACGATCCCTCCTCCTCCTTAGGAGTCTTAACAAAAATTTCCACCGGTTTTGATGTTAAGCAGCATCATTCCTGAGCAGCAAAGGATTCTTCTATTAAATGGGAACAGGCTGTACTCATATTTGCTGTGTTTACTGGATGGGAGAATTAAAATTGTGCAGTGGATAACCCGGCATCTCTCTTGGTTCTCTGCGCCACCGGGCAGGTGAGACGTGCAATAAATCACTGTGTGTGTGCCCGTGTTGCTCTGTAATTCCTCTTACTCCTCAAGTTCTCCAGGCTGGTGTATAAAGCTGTGAAAACTGAAGTGAGTGGCCTGCTGTTTTACTTTTTAATTTGATTTTTTTTGTTGTTGTTGATTGAGGTCAGAGAGTAAAAAGTCTCATAAGTTGCTTTCTGCTGGCTTCTGAAATATTATCTACAGAGCCGGTGGTTTCAGTACTTTAAGCAGCACTTAAATTCTTCCCTAAATAAGTTAATTTTACATTACAGCAAGGGCTTAATGTACCCTCGACTTGCTTGAAGCCTAGCAGATCTGAACTGAATTGTTTTTCTCTATTAAATTTTAGACTCTCAATATCCCCCTCTCACACACCGTTGTCAGCATCTCCAGGTTGGGAGCCCTTGCTGTGTTGAGTGCAGAGCAGTTGGGTTTTAGCTTTTCTTTTCAAGGGCCTTCTTGCATCATCGCTGCATTTTTGTCTCTTTTGGTGTCCAAATTAAAACATACTAATTTTTATACCTGGGCTCAGAACCAGTGATCCTCCTTCCTACTGTGACCTGTTTTTTTTTTATTCTTGCACAAAAAACAGGCATAATATTTCAAACCAGTGAAACCACTCTTTGTACCTCTTTTTGGTGTAACTTTTTCCTAAAACCTGTATGCACATTTAAAAGCCTGTCCTGCTTCCAAGGGTGAGAGATTTCTTGATAAACCTGACCTGGAGAGTTGTCCTTGGGACTGGGAGAGCTGGGGTTTGGTGTGGTGAAGCTGCAGCCTCCTGTCCTAAGCAGAGAGGAACTGGAGCTGAGCACTGGAATGAGTTTCATGAAGCACAAACCATTTATGGAGGGGACAACTGTAACCTTCTGTAGGGATTTCTTGCTTCCTGCAGAAGTTTTGAGCCAGGGACTCTGTCCTGGGTGTTTTCTCAGACACATCACCCCAAAGGCACGTGGGCCATTTCAGTCTCTGGGAGGTGAAGCCTGTTGGGCACAAAGGGGCAGGATCATCTGTGTCACACATCAGGGAGATCTTATTAAAGGATCTCTTCGTTCTTCCTCTTCTGAGAGGCCTGCATGTTTTTTGTGTCAGCAGCTATCCTGTCCTGGAACACTGGCATCCTTTTCTTGTGTGTTCAGGGAACCTTCCTTTCTGTGCACCTCCCCCTCGCTCCAGAAACAATGCACATGTTAAGTCTCTGTTTCATAAAAGCCTGGAATACGAGATCTGAATGCATTTGTCAGAAAGATCAAGATCTTATTAGCCAAAGGTCAGGCCATTTATCATCTTAATAACGTTCGTTACTCTGGTTCCATATGCCATGAGATTCCGAGAGACCATTGCCCTTCTGACCCTTTCGTAAGACAAGAGAATTCCTCTTGTTATTAAAACTTATTTTTATATCAGTGTGCATAGCTTACTTGTCTGCTGTAAATAGCTCTGGTCCTCATTTTGTCCACGCAGATTTCTCTGAGTATTCGTGACCTTCCTCCAAAGTGTACTTTAAAAATATTCTTCTGGACTCAGTGATTACCTTTTGAAGATGGGATTTATTTTAGGATGTGGTGTCACCCTTCCCAAATAATAAAGTTAATGCTTTGTTGTTCATCAGTTTGAGGGTCTGTGAGTGGGGAAAGCCTCTGGCCCCTATTTGAGGTAATCCATGAAAGATAACCCATCTGTTCCTGCCTGCTGGACTCAGGCAGGATCCTGAGGGCTCCTTTCATCTGTTAACATGAGCTTTCTTCTACAGTCCTCCAGGGCTTTGCATTTATTGCCTTCCCTGAAAAATCCGAGTGCATTCCAAGCATCTGCAGTGTGCTGTACTCACCTGTCCTCACTGCTGATGGAGAATCCTGATTTCCATCACTTTCCTCCTTCCCAAAAGATCGTGGTTTACCCATCATCTCGCTCTCCTACCCCTGCGCCGTCCTGTTTTCTCCTTCATTTCCATGCAGCTCTCTGGAAGCACCTTTGAGAACAGGCTCAAAAACCTGCTTGGTGGTGGTAACCCCAGAGGCCCTGTCCTGACACCCAGGTGCACAAGTCGTGTCCCTTAAACCCTCATCTCCACTTGGCAGCCACGGGCAGGCTCAGCAGATGGTGAAGGATTGATTGAGTGGGGGAAAGCAAACTAACCCTTCGTCTCTGGACGCTGAAGAAGTGGGC